GTGAATAATTGTTATCAGGACTGATTGTGAGGGTTGGAAATCTAAAGATGGACATTTTGTAGCAAAGAGGGGAGTTATTAACTTATCAGTCTAGGAGCGGAGGGCCCTGGGACCATCGATGGAGAAGAGCGAAGAGCGGAATCCTACCCAGAGAGGCGGTGAGGCCTGAGATTAATCACTTAACTGGAATTTTATCATGCTGAATCAAGTGAATATTTTAACTAGCAGCATTTCATTATTATTAGCAATTTTATGATGCTATTATAGTTAAGCCATCTTCCTTTACTCCAGGCTGAATGAAGTAATTATTTAAAGTGTGAAATTCCTAACGTACTATCCCCATACAAAAAAATAGTTTAGAAGCTATTCAAAATGGTGGAATGTTGCATCTCATATTTCAGACATGTTTCAGGAGTGACCACCCCTGGAAAAGGATATCATGCTTGGTAAAGTAGTAGTTGTTGTTAAGTGTTGTTGAATTGATTCAAACTCACAGCAACGCTGTACAGGGTTTTCCAGGAGTGGCTGGTGAGTTTGAACCACTGACACAGCAATTAAATGATAAAACTTTTGATTTTTCAATTTCTAGGAAACTGGGTTAAGTATTTGTCACACACATTTCATTTAATCCTCAGGACAGCCTTTAGATTACATATCATTAACCCCACTGATGACAATGAGGTAAGTAAATCAAAGAGTCATTAAGCAACTTGTCCAAGACTTTAATTCTATATAGTATCTATGAGTATTGCCATTGATGTTGTTAAAGCCTTCGAGTCAGTTCCAATTCATAGAGACCCTGTAGAGAGTTTCTGAGGAATGCCTGCTGAGCTTGAACTGCCAACCTTGTAGTTCAAATAGTAGACCTAGGTTGTTAGCACTTTTGCTTATATTCCATTCAAAATGTTTCATATTTCTGGTAAATTTAAAGTAATGGAAATCACCTCACCACTTTAATCAGTGATTTGTCACTATAAAATTATCTCCTTTTTCAGATGCTGATAATAAAAATAAAAACACTGTCTTATCATGAAAAAAAAAAGAAATATTTATGGCATAAATTAATGAATGAGTATTGGGGTGGCACTGTGGGTTAATGCACTGGATTGCAAGGTTGGTGTGAACTGCAAGGATCAGCAATTTAAGTTCACCAGCTGCTCCTCAGAAACCTTATAGAAGGTCACTATGAGTCAGAACCGACTCCAAGGCACTTACCAACAACAACAACAACAACAATCCCATGTAGAATTTTGCACCCTACAAAGTAAGAAAGAGAGTTTGATTTACTAGTTTTGTAAGCAGTGAGTCTGGACCTGGTGGGCTTGAATCTAAGTCCAGTGCCCTGTTCACCTAATATAGTCACTCGAGGTTAAGTGGACTAGGATGGACTGGGGAATATTTCAGAGGTAGTGTGGGTAGCTTGGAGCAGATTGTAGATGATTCTACTACCTATTCAGATTCTCAGTAGTTCTTTTACTCTGGTGAGATTACTTAATCTCTCTGGTACTCAGTTTCTCGTCTTTAAAATTGGGGTGATAACAAACTAACACATCTTATGAAATTTTGATAAACTAGACTTGAATCCCTTAAAGTCAGGGATCATGACTCTTTTGTCTTGACACATAGCATACGGACACATAGTAGGTGCTCATTAAGTATTTGTTGAGGAAACTGGAGGAAGAACGAATGGGCAGACATGGCTATTATCACAGTCCACTGATACAAGTATTTTTCCACTATTTATCAAGGTAAATCCTCCACTATTAATCAGTCTAAATCAATTCTAAACTCTGCCCTCACTCTTCCCCCTCCCAACAGGTGGGAGGTGCAATCCTCCTTCAACTTGGGCAAGGTTAAAAAGGGCAGTCAGGAACTGTCAGATAGTCAGTGATCCAGAAGAAGCTGTGTCATGAGTGTCTTCATGTCAATCCCCACAGGAGTCTTGGGAGGGATTGCTGGGGTCCTCCAAGTGATCTCCTTACTCAGCTTGGTTTTGCTACTGTTCAAGGTAGCCCAGTTCTACCTGCACAGGCAGTGGCTACTCAAAGCCCTGCAGCAGTTCCCGTCACCTCCCTCCCACTGGCTCTTTGGACACAATCGTGAGGTAGGAAAAGGGGATTAAACCAATGGGACAGCAGGGAGAACCGAGGCTGAGAGCATTGCACAAAGCTTTGTTGTGTGAACCTGCACCTGCCTCCCTAGATGCAGAGGGAGGGTGGGGGCAGCTCTAGGGGAATATCCTTGTCTCTGTCAGCTTCTATATATCCTGGCATTTATTGTTATTCCTTGGCTATTTGTAGTTGTACCATCACTTGGCATTTTTTTTTTTGCACCCCCAACACTATTCTTCTCCAAGTGTATGAAGCTATGTTTCATTTTGTTATACTTAAGGCCATTGGAAGCACGGTGGCTCTGTAGGATAAACACTGGACTGCTAACCACAAGGTCAGTGCTTGTAGGAGAAAGATGAGACTTTCTGCTCCCCTATAAACTTATAGCCTTGGAAACCCTATATAGGGTTGCTATGATTGGAACTGACTACAGAATTTAACAACAAGGTTACTGAGTCAGAATCAACTCGACTATACCTCACAAAACATCAAGTAGTCAATAAATATTTATCTAATAAATGAATAAATGTATCCATCCATTTACTCATTAATATAGTTTCTCATTTACTTAGGTAAAACATTTTGGGAAATCTGTCAAAATAAGCTTCTCTGAAATCCCTTTCCCCGAAGTAATTGGATCTCTGAATACTCTATTGTACCAGGAGGATCCCTTACCCAGGCTGCTGTAATCAGAGTCTCAGAAAAGGATTCAGCAGCGCAACTCTGTAAAAACATTTGGGAGAAAGGTAATATGTTAGCACAGGAAGGGTACAATTGCCCTTTTCTACCACATAAACCTAAGTTACATGCGGACAGCAATTAGTGTTGTTTTGTTCATGGCTAAATCCCCAGCTTCTAGAAAAGTGCCTGGTACATGGTTTTTGTTGTTGTTAAGTGTCGTCAAGTTGGTTCCAACTCATAGCGACCCTGTATAAGGTTTCCAAGGAGCAGCTAGTGAGTTTGAATCACTTGTGGTTCAAATTGACCTTGCCATCCAGTGCTTTATCCCATAGCATATACCAGTATTCCTAAGGATCCCCAAAGTGGTAGGTCCTCAATAATTGTTTCTTGAACAATCCCTGTATTTACACTAAAAAAGAACCTGAGTACCAACAGATCTCCAGGCTTTGTTTCTGCTGTTTCTAGGATTCTTCCTGCCCTTTGCCCTTGGCTCTTTGAAATACTTTTGTGTCCTCAGCCTTTTTTCTTTTATTTCAACCACATTTTTTACTACCTCACATAAATATCTGAAAACAAATTCACCTTGCTTCTTTTCTGTATCCTCAGCACAATTTATTATAGACCTTAGTAAACAAACTAGCTAAATATTAACTGGGGGGAAATGCATTTAAAAATGGGAAACAGAGGTCCATAAATAGCCAACTATGTTAAACACAGAGAACACCATCTAGTTTTCCTTTAAGATTCAGTCACTGACTTGCAACATTTATTAAAACAAATCTCATTTATAAAACAAGGCAATTTTTAACTTGATCTTGACTCGCATTTTTGTGGGGGGTGGGGAGTTGGTGGACAGCCATTGAAGTTTTACATGACAAATTGCAAAATTTTAACTAAAGGTCAAATTAAGCATTCAAACATAAGTTTACATTTTTTTTAGCTTCTGCATCAACAAATAATGACTGCATTATCAATTTATGTTGTTCCATTTGCAATGTTTTTAACCTCTCTTCTGTAGGGTACAGGCAGCTTCTAATGGGAACTGGTGTATACTCTGTTCTTGATGAAGATGGCATGAGGTAGATGTTGCCTGGTGCCTGGACAACGCTGAATGTGACAGAACCATTGAGACACATTAAGATATTTTTCCTTTTCTTGAACGGTCAGGTCATCTATAAAATAATGAAGTCCATAGTATAACAGGATATCTGCTAATGTAAAATTATAGCCTGTAAGGTAGACTTCACCTTCAAGGTACAAATTAAGATCCTTCAGGTAAGTGCAGACATAGTCTTTATTGGAGTGTCCATCTACTTGAGTTACCCTGAACTCTAAGCACAACTCAACAACTGTTTTACTTTCGCAGTGCTCCCAAGAAAATCATCTTTGTTGGCTTGGTTGACTAGATAAGTTGCTATCGTAATCAACCCTGTTAGACTTGGACCGCTGTTTGTTTGAAGGACTGGAATCTGGTGCTTGCCCTGGACACACTGTATTTATTCCCTTTACTTAGCCCCAAGAATTTCTCAAGCGAGCTCCTGACCAGGCTGTCTTCAGCCTTTTTATCTTTTCCTTTTTATCTCTTAAATTAGTTCAAGATTAGATTTGTCACTTGCAACACAAATTTTAATACTAATTCACTCATTTACTTTCTATATCTCTCGCTCTCTCTTTGTCTGTCTATCTCTCTGTCTCCCATCTATCGCTATCTATCCTTTATAAAAAGTCGTATTTCCTGCGTACTATACTCCTGGTGTGGTGCTGTGCATTAACATACTGGACTGCAAGGTCGGCAGTTTAAATTTACAAGCTGCTCCTCGGAAACCCTATCAGGGTCTCAATGAGTTGGAACCAACTCCACAGCACTTAACAACAACATACTCTATGTTGGACTCTAAGAAAACAGATGACCAGTATTGAAAGTGAGTTTGCCAATAAGGTACCCAATAATTAGGACACATCACGATGAATATACTACAGAAACACCAAGGGACTGTGGAAGCCCAGGGAAAGGACACCTTGGGGTCAGCATACTTGAGTTTTAACTCATATCTTGAACCTTAGTTTCCTCATCCTTGTGTAGAACAGGATAAAGTACTAATCCCTAATTGACCATAGATTTTCTGTGAGCATTGCATAATGCAAGTCTGTGAAAAGGATTTGTATACTGGTTAGTCTGTGAATAACATTTATCAAGTGCCTATTATATGTAAAGTTGTGGAACTAGTTCTGAGTGAGGGCCCAAAGCTCAGATAAATAAAAGAGCACAGCCATTATCAACAAGAAACCTTTGGGTAAGGTCTGGATCAACAGTAAAACTGAATCAAAGACCAGGTCATTAGAAACAATTCAAAACCTCTAATCTCTGCTGGTTGTTGTTATGTGCCATGGAGTCGGTTCCAACTCACAGCGACCCTGTACAGGGTATCCGAGGCTGCAAATCTTTATGGGGGCAGAAAGCCTCATCTTTCTCCCGTGGAACAACTGGTAGTTTCCAACTGCTGACCTTGTGGTTCGCAGCCCGATTTGCAACCACAGTATCTCTGGTAATGTAGTGGTTACGAATCAGGCTGTGAACCTTAAGGTCAGCAGTTCAAACCCACCAGCTTTTCCTCAGAAACCCTACACAGGGTCACTATGAGTTGGAAACCAACTCAATGGCACTTAACAACAACAATAGTGTCTGTTGGTAGATAGAGAACTACCATTCCTGTGGCCGTCCTATCCTTCATCCCTAATCCAAGTACTAGATCTGAAATGAAGTTTTAATTGGCTTGTCTCTCCTTCAATTGCAGTTTCAAAAGAATGAGGAGCTCCAACAGTTTCTGAAATGGATAGATAAATTCCCATGTGCCTTTCCTCGCTGGCTGTGGGGGAGTAATGCTTTCCTTTCAGTCTATGATCCTGACTACATGAAGACAATTCTGGGGCGATCAGGTGAGAACAAACCTCATGTCCAGTTTGAGAAACTCCTCCTTCTATGGTAAAATTCCCAAAAAACCCAAGTAAACCATAAATATCTAAATTCTCTACCAATAATCTCTTCTACCAAAGCCCACCAACAGGAACCTACACTGACTCTCTCTGGCTCAGCCAGATCCCTCATTGCCCCTGCAGGACCTGGTACAATCTGTAGGTGGGTACAGCTCTGGGATGGAGGATAGTAAACAAGACATTATGTTCCAGGTTCTGTGCCAGAGGTTTACATGTGCCATCACATTTAGTGATGGTTGCTAAGACCCTTTCCAAGGAAACATTCAGTGACTACATGAACACACTCACCCCAAGTTTCACCTCAATCAGGTCTGATACCCAGCCTCAGGCTGATAATAATTGCATAGTGCTGGATATTTAAAACAACTTTCCTCCTTCCTTCCATTGTTTTCCTTCCTCCCTTCCTTTCTTTTTTTTTGTTTATCCCTCCAACTACCTTCCTTCTTTCTTTCCTCTGTCCTTTATTTTTTTCTTATTCCCATCCTTCCTTTCCATCATTCTATTCATTTCTATTCTAGTCTGTCTCGACTATCCTTTCTCTCTCTTTCCTTCCTTCCCTTCTTTTACACCTTCCTTTTTCCCTTCCACCAAACTGAGATTTTGTTATGTACGTTGTCCCATATCTAAAGAAAATTTATCTATCCATGCTGGAAAAGGTCTATTGTTGCTATCAAGTAGGTTCTGACTCATAGTGATTTTTTATAGGGTTTCTGAGGAGTGGCTAGTGGGTTTGAACTGCTGACCTTGTGGTGCATCAAGACTCCTCACCAGGGATGGGTCTGGTATCTTTTCATTTTGACATGGGATGACAAAGCCACCATCAATCCCTGAAAAGCCACAAATCTTTTATTTTACTGATTGACATTTAAGATATTGCCCACATTTCTAGTCAACTTCCCATTCTACTATTGATTTCTGTTGAAGGTCTGCCTCCCTGGGCCCACATTGACTATTAGGACAGAAATAATAGATGATAGCAGGCATATAAAAGGTCACTTTGTATCGATTTACAGTTGATGATCAACAAGAAATTGTGGTAGCCAATGATCTGGAACACAGTTGTTTGCTGAGACATGCCTTTTCTGGTCCATTCCACCCACATTCTAATGCCCTTCCTTACCTTTCAGACCCAAAGTCTATTGACGCCTATGGATTCCTGAGGCCCTGGATTGGTATGTATGTCTTAACAATGCAACATTCCATTCACAAGGTAGGTTTACCACAAGTGATCTCTTTGACTCACAGAATAAAACAGGTGTCAAACCACATTGTCAACACCTGTATCCTTGAATTAAGCCCATTTCTCTTCTATTCTCAGACTCTGACCATATCGTCTTGGTAGTTGAAACTCTACAATAACTATGTTTCTTCCACATATCCTATTTCTCTAAAAATGTCAAAACTTAATACTTATTTAAGGCTTGCTCTCTAATGAACACTTTCAACTTTTCTCTCATAATTATCATGATCACATGCCATATACCAGACAAACTGGAAACTCACATCCCTGAAATGTGGCAAGCTTTATAAACTCTTGTACATAATGTGTCTTTTGAAGGGTTTCTTTCCCTAGAAAGGCCTTGCTCACTCTCAAAGTGTTCCTGATACTTTCTTTAATCCTGTCTTCCCAACACACATATTCATCTCTGGTTCAGGAAATGGTTTACTCCTTTTGAATGGGCAGGCGTGGTTCCAGCACCGGCGTATGCTGACTCCAGCCTTCCACTATGATATCCTGAAGCCCTACGTGGGGCTCATGGCTAACTCTGTCCAAATAATGCTGGTAAGTAGGTCTCTATCTCTCTTTATCTCTCTCTCATCTCTACACACAACCTCACTCACAGATCCCTGCATGCACTCACAGCACACCTTTACAAAGTCCACTGTCAAATATGATATCCCAGGGGCATCCATCAGACACAGTCATATACAACGGCACTTTCAGACCAATGACACATACACACACACACCACCCCTGTTATTGCACATCATACATATTTTGAAGCTCTTAGATACACCTGTAAGGCCAGGACCTGCTCACTCACATAGCCACTTGTCTACATTATTACTCACTCTAATGTGATTCCCACATTCCCACATACATGTACTCACTGAAACACTGAGACATGGATTTAGACAAACCTACTGACACATAAAGGAGCTCTGGTAGTGTAGTGGTTACGAATCGGGCTGCGAACCGTAAGGTCAGCAGTTCAAAACTACCAGTTGTTCCGCGTGAGAAAGATGAGGCTTTATGCTCCCGTAAAGATTTACAGCCTCGGAAACCCTGTACAGGGTTGCTATGAGTCAGAACCGACTCCATGGCACATCACCACCACCACTGACACATATGTTGTTGTTGTTGTTGTTAGGTGCCATCAAGTCAGTTCCAACTCATAGCAACACTATTGTGCTACAGAACTGCTTGGTCCGGCACCATCCTCATAATTGTCATGCTTGAGCTCATTGTTGCATCTGCTGTGTCAATCCATCTCCTTGGGTGTCTTTCTCTTTCTCACTGACCCTCTACTGTGCCAAGTATGATGTCCTTCTCCAGGGACTGGTCCTTCCTGATAACATACCCAAAGTATGTGATTTGCACTCTCAACATCGTCACTTTTAAGGAGCATACTGGCTGTACTTCTTCCAAGACAGATTTGCTTGTTCTTTGGGCAGTCTATGATATTATTAATATTCTTTGCCAACACCATAATTCAAATGCCTCAGTTTTTCTAAGGCCTTCCTTATGCATTGTCCAGCTTCCACAGGCCTATGGTGCAATTGAAAATACTATGGCTTGGGTTAGGTGCACCTTATTCCTCAAAGCGGTGTCTTTGCTCTTTAACACTTTAAAGCAGTCTGTTACAGCAGGTTTGCCTAATGCAAAATGACATTTGATTCCTTGACAGCTGCTTCTATGAATTTTGATTATGGAGCCAAGTAAAAGGAAATATTTAATTATTTCAATCTCTTCTCCATTTATTTATTAACCTAGTTGTGAGGATTTTTGCTTTCTTTTCATTGAGGTGCTGACACACATCTATATATATTAAGACACATAAAGATATACTTGGCAGATTTATGTAGGCATGCACTCCCACATACATTTGTACATATACCCAAATACACTGACTTTCCAGCATGCAGTAACACATTCTATTCTCATATTGGCATGAATAAAATCCCTCTCCTGATTGACTGAAAACTCCTCTGGAACATACAAAAATCAAACTTTCAAATCACTACTGTGAGACTTGTCATTACAAGATAGAAACATCTCAGTGGCAGTGGGTTTGTGGGATGAGCTAGGACACAGCCACTGTCTTGGATCCACACTTTGCTCATCACTCAAAAAGTGAGGCAAGAGCCTATGGAGAGAACCCCTCGCCATTTATCTCCATGTGTTCAGCACTGTGGACATAGAAATGGTCAATGGCCCTTGGACAGCAGGGCAAGCTGCATCTTGTTGGCCTAGACAATGCTGGCATTGTTCCAGCTTCAGAAGCAGGAAGAAAATCCAGGATGCCACTCATCTGTCTTTGTCCTGGAGCCCAGAGTTTGTGCATTAATTTGAGTCACCCCATAGATAAATGGACAAACCATCTAATGTCAGCACTTTGCATCGAAATTCTGATTTGTCACCCAATTTTGGTTTGGTTGAAAAAAAAAAAAATACAGAATGAAAAGAAACTGAAGCTCCTTTCTACACAATATATTATAAACTTTATCTTGTACTCTCATGTTTAAATTTGGTGCAACCTGTCCCTCAGCTCTCAGGAGAACAAAAAGTCCCCCTACTCTAAGAACCCTGAAAACAGTAGTTACCATCATAAATTGTTCCATAATTTAAAACTTGATTTAGACCATTATGAAAGTATATTAAATTCTAGTGATAAAATAGACATCAGCTTACAAACATTTGCTTTACAGTCTTACTTTGGTATAATGCCATCTGCTTTAAAAAGTGAAGAATTCCCAACAGGACATCCAGGGAGACAGAGGAAAGTTTGGCGTGATTAACAAAGGCCTCTTGATGGAGTCTGAGTAAAGTTAATGTCTGTCTCCTACCCAGGACAAATGGGAGAAACGCATCACCCAGGACCCATATCTGGAACTCTTTGAACATGTCTCCTTAATGACCTTGGACACCATCATGAAATGCGCCTTCAGCTACCAACACAGCATCCAGTTGGGCAGGTCAGCAAAAATATTCAGCTAAGGGTCCTTTCTCATACCAACTTGCTATGGATTTACATGACAGGTAGAATACTGGGATGTTCAACTCAACACAAAGCAAGATTCTATCCCCACCCCAGACACAGATGTAGAAGTTTTACTGCTCATACCATCTTACAAGGGCTGGGAATCACTAAGGCTGTAAGGTCAGAAGACAGAGATGCCTCAGTGATACACCCTATTTGAATATGTCTTCATTCCACCTTTGGGTCAGAGGTCTCCCTCCCCTTTAGTCTCTTCTGCTTCCTCTCTCTTTAGGAATTCTCACTCCTACATCCAGGCTGTTGGGAACCTGTCCAACCTGGTTTTTTCCCGTATGAGGAATGCCTTCTACCAGAATGATGTCATCTACAGAATGACCCCTGATGGCCGTTCAGCCCACCATGCCTGCCAGATCGCTCATAAACACACAGGTTTGGTTTCTCCTCACAGGCAATCTCCCTCCTCCACCAAAACCTACCCAAAAGAACATACACTGATCCCTCTGGCACAGCCATAGCCAGATCACTCATTGCCCTTGCAGGACCTAGTGCAATTTGTAGATGGGTACATCTTTGGGATGGGGAATGGTCAATAAGATATTATGTTCCAGGTTCTGCACCAGAGGTTTACATGTGCCATCACATTTAGTGATGGTTGCTGAGAAACCTTCCCAGAAAATATTCAGAGGATCCATGAACACACTCTCACCCCAAGCTTCACCTTAGTTAGGCCTGATACCAGGATTGGTGTCAGTTATGACTGATGGGGCTTCTGTGAGTATCTGTGGTGGGTTCATCCAGAGTTTGTACCACTGGTAACTACTGTCCTGAAATAGACCAAGTGATCAAGCAGAGGAAGGCTCATCTGCAGAACGAGATAGAGCTGGAAAATATTAGGAAGAAAAGACACTTGGATTTCCTGGACATTCTCCTGTGTGCCAAAGTGAGTGTTGGAGATATCTATGTTTTCTATAGAAGAACAGGATCTGAGGGTAAATCCTGCATTCTTCTTGGGCTTCTCCCAGATGGAGAATGGGAGCAGCTTGTCCAATGAGGACCTTCGTGCTGAAGTGGACACATTCATGTTTGAGGGTCATGACACCACAGCCAGTGGCATCTCCTGGATCCTCTATGCCCTCGCCATGCACCCCAAACATCAGCAGAGTTGCCGGGAGGAGATCCAGAGTCTTCTGGGGGATAGAGCCATTATCACATGGTGAGTGCTCAAAAGATAGAAGAGTCCTGCCTCTTTGTTAGAGGAAAAACCCCTGGTCTACTCTGGGCCTGTACACTCCTCAAGTTGTGTTTTTTCTAAGGGATCACTTGGACCAGATGCCCTACACCACCATGTGCATCAAGGAGGCTCTGCGAATCTACCCTCCTGTGCCAATTGTTAGCAGGGTACTTAGCAAGCCCATCACCTTCCCAGATGGACGCTCCTTACCCAAAGGTATGAACTTTACCAAACTCTCTTACCTAATTTTCAGGAACCATACCCACCACTTTGAGTCCTGGTGTGGTGCTGTAAGATAAGCACTAGACTACTAACCAAATTGGCTTGATGGCTCTTAACAACATAACAAAAAGGTAAGTGGTTCAAACCCACCAGATGTTCCTTGGAAATCCTACACAGGGTGCCACGAGTCAGAACTGACTCAACAGCACTTAACAACAACAACTATTACCATGAGCCTGAGTCCACGGCTACCCATATGTTTAAGAGTAGAATTGCACTCCTTTGGGCTTTCAATGGTTGATTTTTCAGAAGTCAGTCACCAGACTTTTCTTCCAAGGCAACTCTGGTTAGCAGCTTAACCACTTTGAATTTGTATCATCTGCCTATTCAAGGAAGTAAGAGTATAACTGTGCTGATTAATATGGTGATGATGCAATCCATATAGTCATCTCCACAAGGAGATTTTAGCATTATAATGTAACCTTTCAACTTTATAATCCTAATTCCTTAAAATGTGGAAGGGCTTAATAGAGAATCCGAGAAGAGCAGGGGTAGATGTGACCTGTTCTTTATGAGGCTTCACAGTAAGTAAGGGAGATCAGAAAATCCAGTGTCATGGGTCAGGTGGGGTCAGGCTCTGAAGAAGCCTCAGGATGGTGACAGAGCACAGCTGATGACTGAATATGAGACCATGGCCATGGTCAGAGGTCATCTGATGGCTTGCCTCCCATTGATCTGAATCTTAGATCTGCTCCATCCTAGCTATGCGATCCTAGGCAAGTTGCCCAGCCTTTCTGAGCCTCAGGTGCCTCGTTTTAAAAAACTGAAAAATGAGTGTGTTTTCCATGAAGGGTGGTTGTGAGGATAACATGAGTTAATGCATATTTCCCTGTGTCATTTGAGTTACTATAAAAAGGCAGGCTCCAATTCTTATCCGCTTCAATTGGTTTGTGGTACCCAGTCCTTTTGTGCATCTACATTCATTTTATTGGCTGAAGTACCAGGAAAATACTCACAAAGTATTTATCAGTCTTTTCTCTATCTCTACCCTGCCCCACAGGAATTACAGTTTCACTGAACTTTCACACTCTTCACCACAATCCGAAAGTGTGGTCCAACCCAGAGGTATGAGAACCTGAGAAAGAGAGATGGAATGATTTTTCAAGAACAGTACCTCTTTTACACCCCACCTCTGATAACTCTGCTCCTCATGGGTTGTAAGGAAGAGCTTGACCTCTGCTTGTGCTGGTTTTGATGTTCTCTTTGCAGGTGTTTGATCCTTTCCGGTTTGCACCAGGGGCTGTTCAACATAGCCATGCCTTCCTGCCCTTCTCAGGAGGCTCAAGGTGAGAAGGCTTCCTGTGTAGGTAATTGGGAGGGGTTTTCTGGATGTGTGCCACAGTGATAGTGATCTTCTATGTGCCTGATGGCAGTCTCTGCCATACCTGGTAGTATTGGTATTTATGGATTGGGGCCTTGTGTTTTTGTCTCTGTACAAAGAAAGACAAAGTCTCGGCAAACCATAGAACCTTTGCTCTCATTGATCTTTCCTAATGCAACCAATATTCAGTATGAGTGGATTTTTCAAAGTTCAGTGTATTCTTGCATTTTTCTCATGCTAGAATTATGACTTTCCAGGACAGGATGTCTTGGGCTTTCCCATTTCTGGTACTGTGCTTTTCTCAATTGTTATAATTTGCAGAGGGAGATTTCTCTCTTCCTAACCCTTGTGGCAAGGAGCTCTGGTAGCGTAGTGGTTACGAATCGGGCTGCGAACCTTAAGGTCAGCGGTTCGAAACTACCAGCCGCTCCGCGGGAGAAAGATGAGGCTTTCTACTCCCGTAAGGATTTACACCCTCGGAAACCCTGTACAGGGTCGCTATGGGTCGGAACCGACTCGATGGCACTTAACAACAACAACCCTTGTGGCACTGCAGGATAAGCCTGGACTGCTAACCACAATGTTAGTAATTCAAACCCCCCAGCCACTCCTCAGAAACCTTATACAGGGTCACTGTGAGTGGGAAACGTCTTGACAACACTTAACAACAACAATCATTCTCAAAGTTCTTGGGGCTTCATTTACTAATGAGATACTCCTCAAAATAAGCAGCAGCAGCTGTAAACATCAGAATGTGGAATGTACAAAGTATGAATCTAGAAGAATTACAAGCCAAAAAAATGAAAGAGAATGCATAAAGATCAATATCCTAGGTATTAGTGTGCTAATGGGCTGGCCATTTCAAATTGGACAATTATATGGCTTATTATGCTGGAATTGACAAATTGAAGAGAAATGGCATTACATTCATCAACAAAAAGAGCATGTCAAGATGTAAGTGATAGGATAATACCTATGTGCCTACAAGGAAGAACAGTTAATACAACTATTATTCACGTTTACTCACCACCCAACTAAAGCCAATGATAAAGAAACTGAAGAATTCTACTAACCTTTATAGTCTAAATTTGATTGAACATGCAACAAGATGCATTGATAATTACTGATGATTGGAATATGAGAGTTAAAAACAAAGAGGTAGTTGGAAAATATGACTGTGATGATAGAAATAACTCTGAAGAGGACATGAGAAAATTTTGCAAGACCAATGACTTATTCATTGCAAATATCTTATTTAGCAACATAAATAGTGATTATAAATGTGGGCCTCACCAGTTAGAATACATAGAAATCAAATTGAGTGCATCTGTGAAAAGAGACATGGAGAATTCCAAAATCATTAGTCAAAAGAAAGCCAGGGGCCAAAATTGGAACAGACAATCCATTGTTCATCTAGCAGTTCAGGTTGAAGTGGTAGAAAATTAAAATAAGTAAAAAGAGTCAAAATGCAACCTTGAGCATATTCTACCTGAATTTGGAGATCAACACAAGAATAGATTTCATGCTTTACACAATATTGATCAAAGACCAATGAGTTGTGAGATGGCATTAAAAATATCATACAAAAAGAAAAAAAAAAGTCATTTAAAAGAAAAAAATACCAAAATAGATGTCAGCAGAGACTCTGAAACTTGCTCTTGAGTGTAGAGAAGTTAATATGCATAGAAGAAATGAAGTAAAAACAACTGAAGACAATTTCAAAGAGCAGCTTGAGAAGACAATGTGAAGTATTATAATGAAGTGTTCAAAAACCTGCAGTAGAAAACTAAAGAAGAAGAACAAACTTTGCATTTCTCAAACCAAAAGAAGTGAATTAAAAGTCAATCCTTGAGTTGTAATATTGAAGGATTCTAAGGGTAAAATATAGAAGACACAGGAAACATCAAAAGAAGATGGCTAGCTTACAAGTTTTAAAGAGGGAATTTAGTTTTAGAGTGTGCAGGGACAGGTAGAATCCCCACTGAATAGTTTTCTTTTTGTCTAGATGGGTCTGTTAAAAGGAGATGGGACAGCATTTATTTAATTCAATAGTGAGTAATTGGAATCATACTTAATTGCAATTGTCACAACTGTAAAGGTAGAAGTTGTTTAACAAAAAGGGAGGAGTAGTTAATCTTACATTCCAGGAACAGAAGACCCTAGGATCATCAAGAGAAAAGAGCATGAGTAGAATGTGGGACCCTAAAAAGAGAAGCAGTGATACCAGAGATGGAGGCAGAGGTGATGGCATGGAGTGATTGAGCAGTTGAGGACTCTAGACTCATGGGAGGAGAAAGACTATGTGCTGGCTGGCAGTCTGACTTCCAGAATGTGCCCTTTGGTTGTTTAAATGATTATATCATCCCATGGGTTTTTTTGTGCATCAAAAAAGGGGGGGTTCTTGATAAAAGAAACAATCTATCATGGTTTTGGGGGGAAGTGATACATGCACTAGAGGGTAAACATGAGTGACAGGGCAGGTGATATACAACTGGAGAGAGGTTGGCAGAGGAAAGATGGAGGTGGCGAGAGACATGGAGAAATGCAGTGGTTAAAGTGAATAGAAGTAAACTGTTGGTGCATAGAGGAGATTGCAACCATGTAATGAAGCAAAGTATATGATTTGTTGAATGTGAAATTGATGATCTGCTTTGTAAACCTTCACTCCATTCACAATAAAAAAGTTTTTAAAAAAGAAGAAGATGGAAGGAATACTTAGAGTGACTGTATCTAAAAGAACTGGTTGATGTTCAACCATTTCAAGAGATAGCATATGATCAAGAACCAGTGGTATTAATTTTAAAGCAAGTCCAAGTTACTCTGAAAGCACTGGCGATAAACAAGTCTCCAGAAATGGACAGAATATAAATTGAAACGCTTCAACAAACTGATGCAATGCCAAGAAATTTGGAAAGCAGTTATTTGGCCAACCAACTGGAAGGAATTGATATTTGTGCTCATTCCAAAGACAGGTGACCCAACTGTTGTTGTTGTTAAGTGCCCCTGAGTCTGTTCTGATTCATACTGTTGTTGTTAAATGCCACCAAGTCCATTCCAACTCACAGCAACCCTGTATATGGTCTCCGAGGAGCAGCTGGTGGGCTTGAACTACAGATCTTATATTTCAACCTGACTTTGTGATCCAGTGTGTTATTCTGCAATGGCACACCAGAGCTCCATGTTCTGACTCATAGCTACTATGTATAGGGTTTCCGAGACTGTAAATCTTTGCTAGAGCTCTAACAGCTGACCTTGTGGTTTGCAGTCCAGTGTTTATTATACGGAGCCACTGTACTCCAAGCTGACTCAGTAGAATGCAGAAATTATGGAGTAATATCATTACTATCACATGCAAGAAAAATTTTGGTAAAGATAATTCAAAATCAATTTCAGGAGTGCATTGACAGGGAGTGTCTGGGAATTCAAGCTGAACTCAGAAAAGGATCTGGAATGAAGGATATGACTGATGGTGTCAGATGGATCTTTACTAAAAGCAGAGAAACCAGGAAGATGTATATTTATGTTTTATTGACTATGTAAAGGCATTCGACTATGTGGACAATGACAAGTAATGGATAACATTGGGAAGAATGAAAATTCCAGAGCTCTAAATTGTGCTCATGAAGAACCTGTACATAGCACGAGAAACAGTCTTTCTACATGGTTTTAATCAGGAAAGGTGTGTATCAGAGTTGTATCCTTTACTTATTCAATCTGTATGCTGAGCAAATAACCTGAGAAGCTGTACCATATGAAGAATGTGTCATCAGGTTGGAGGATACAGATGATACAATCTTTTGTTGGAAGAAAAGAAGACTTAAAGCACTTACTGTTGATTATCAAAGACTACAGTCTTCAGTATGGATCATACCTCAATTTAAAAAAATCCTCATACTGGACAAATAAACAATATCATGATAAATGGAGAAAAAAATGGAAGTTGTCAAAGATTTTATTTACTTGGTCTTCTTTGTAGGTGTATGGATATTATCCTATTACAGACAACATTGTATTTCAAGATAGATCTTGAAATGTTCTTTTTGATGATGAATGTGATGCCATTCCTCTTCAACTTGTTATTTAGGCTAGTAAACCATATGGTTTTCCAATTCAAAGTGGCCAATGTCTGTCCATTTCAGCTTGCTAATGTCTAGGGTATCGATCTTTATGTGTGCCATTTTCTTTTTTATGATCTCCAATTTTCCTAGATTCATACTTTGTACATTTCATGTTCTGATTATTAATGGATGTTTGCAGCTGTTTCTTTTCATATTGAATTGTACCCCATCAGCAAATGAAGGTCCAGAAAGCTTTGCTCCATTCATGTCATTAAAGTCAACTCTGCTTTGGCAGCTTTTCCCCAATCATATTTGAGTGCCTTCTAACCTCAGGGGATCATTTTCTGATATTATATCAGATAATGTTCCACTGTGGCTAAATATTCAGAAGTGATCTGCCTCTCATTCCTAGTCTGTCTTAGTCTGGAAGCTCCACTGAAACCTATCCATCATGGGTGACCCTGCTGGTATTTAAAATACTGGTGACATAGCTTCAAGCATCACGGCAACACATAAACTACCATAGTACTACAAACAGACTAGTTTCCCACAACCTCTTTTCTCCAGTAATCTTCCCTTTTGCTCCTCTGACTCCTTCATATTATCCCATCTTGTCCTCCTTCTGAGTATCTGGACACCAGTATGTCCTCTGAGAGTGTGGCCCAGCTCCCTCTGCGGTACTCAGAACAGTGACATTCTCATTGTGAAATCAGACACTATTTGTGCAGTGAGCGAACAAACCAGCAATTCACCTTTTAAAGCCAATTAAATTCTGCAGTTTAGAGCATTGGCCCTCTAAACTGGCATCAAAGCTGCTTCTCAACCCAGACCTTTTTAAGATTAGATCTATTCTTTTTCCTCCAAACATTTGTTCACTCAGTCACCAAACATAACTGAGCCCCTACTTGTTCCAGGCAGGATCTACCATAGAGAATAATTTCCTTTTCACCACAGCTGAAGTGTCCTAGAGGGAAACAGGATATTCTGTCAAAACATTAGATATTCTCATAAATATATCTAGACCAGTCCTTCTTGGACATATTTCATGAGGAAATTAAGGTTTAATGCTTGCTGTAAGATATTCATTACATGTAATTAACTTCTCTTCTCTGTGTCTAGAATTGTCTAGTTTGTATCATACAGAGAATTATGAAATTGGTCTCTCAAATAATTTTCTGTAGAGTTTAATTGTCTCACAGAACCCAACTGAAAAAGGCTATTAGGCACGAATTCTTGTACCTCCACCCTTTCTCATGATCCCTCCTTGGCTTACAATAGACTTTCCTCCTCTAGAATACCTACATATTATCAAAGCCCAAATCACATGTTCCCACCTTTGCAAAACTTCTCTTTAACAAGTTTAGTAGCCTGCTCAAGCCCACAGTCCCTAACATTACAGTTGCAAGAATCAGCACAGGACTGGAGAAAAAAATTCAGTTTATATAACTCAGATTGGAATATGCTGAGAGAACTCAGCAATGGAAAATGTTGCTAAGAGTACATATACAAGTACAAGTTAGGAACCAGGCCTAGAAGAATGATAGCATTTATCAAATGTCAGGGGATTGTGTAGTAAAGATGTGGATAGAGGCATATGTGACCTGTTAGCAGATTAGGGCCTGGGCTCCATTAAGGAAGATTCAGTGAACTTTTCAGCTCAGACCCAGGCCTAAGGCATTTGCTTATATTTCTTTCCCTGTCCTAGGAACTGCATTGGGAAGCAGTTTGCTATGAACGAGCTGAAGGTGGCTGTGGCCCTGACCCTACTCCGCTTTGAGCTGTCACCAGACCCTACAAGGGTTCCCATCCCTATTTCAAGAGTTGTGTTGAGGTCCCTAAATGGGATCTACCTGCACGTGAAGAAGCTCCACTAACCCAGGTGGGGACAAGGGCAACTTCATCACCTTTATTTCCCTTGGACGGCCTTCTGCCTTCCATCCTGTCTTACTGTCCCCTGTTGCTGCCCCTTGTGTTTTCGCCCACCCTCCTGCTTCTTACCTTCCAGCTGGCTGATCTTCTGCCTTCCATCCACCAGACTGACTGATCTTCTCTCAGCCAACCTTTTACCAGTTTCCATTCCTATGTCTGTCTAATGTTCTCTACCTGCCTTATAACTAGCCACCTAATTCCTAATCACCTGCCTGACCTCCAGTCTGTCTACCCATCTACCAGTCTTCTTCTGTCTGCTTGCCAAGCTCTGTATGAGTTTCCCTGTTGATGCTATGACAAATACCATAAACTTACCAGTGAAACACAACACAAATTTATTCTCTTACAGTTCTTGTGATCAGAAGTCTGGAATGGATCCCACCACACCCAAACCACAATGATGCGAAGCCAGTCTCCCTCCAGAAGCTTTAGTGGAGAATCTATTTCCTTGCATTTTCCAGATTCAAGAGCTGTGATTATCTGTAGGGTCACTATGAGTTGGAATGCACTCAGTGACAATGGATTTAGAGTTTCCGCCCTTTAGTTCCTCAGGGAACCTAGAATAATCTCTCCATTTCAAATTCCTTAATGAAAACACATCTGAAAAGTTCACTTAGCCATATAAGGTAACATAGATATTTTCTAGTTTCAAAAGATTTGATTGGAGATATTTGGGAATCATTTCCAGCATTCCACAGTCTCCTGATGGCTACCATCGATCTGATCTATCACAATTGAATCTCACCTCTCTACATAATTTGTCATTCATATAACTTTCTGCTTCTTTTCCCCTTTCCAACCTGCCCAGGTACAATAAACTACACATACTTCAAATAGTGTCTGTTCTCCTTGGGATGGAGAAGGAAGGCAGAATAGAGAGACTATGAGGAAAGAGACGAGAGGAGAAGAGATTTGATGCTTTCTATGTTGTTCCAGGGATCCTGTGTGCTACCCCAAGTAACTTCAGCCCAGCTTGATGCTTCCCAGGACATCCATAGAATCCTAAATTTGTGTAGACCTCAGTGCCCATATTCTACCTGGCTTCTAAAGTCTGTCATGTTACCTGGATTTAGAGACAGAGCTCTTGCTTCAGGCACACTGGGGAAGCGCTCACTCACCCCCTTTAGGCAAAGTGACTCTATCTCAATTTTACGCAGAGGTTCAGCATTTCTCACATTTGATTTTTAGAGCAAAAACCATCTGGAGTCCTTTTTGCCAAGCATGAAAGCATTGGAAACACAGCTCTTCACAACCTAGAAACATTTGAGAAAACAACCTCCTACTACCACTTCCTAGCACAGAAAGATCTCAAGACTCCTGAGGAGGCTCAAGGTCTGAATAGTAGGTCAGTGGGGATTTGCCCAAGTGGGCAAAGAGACTGCGTTTCTTGGAGAGAATGTCAGAACTCAGCCATCACCCCCTACCTCCTGTCAACAAGACTGCCTCATACCAGTCAACTGTAGATCAGCATATTGCCCCACTTGACCTAACTATTCCACCTTGGTAGAACCCTGCCACACTTGGTGATTCTGTGGATGCTGTCCTACTGAGATTGTATTTTCTTGCCAGCACTGGGCCCCTTTGTAAGTCTGATAGGCTATGTGGGCTGATGAGTGTCCCTGATTCTACCAGTGTCTCTCAGCTCAAGGTTATGTGTCTTCCTGCAGATCTTGGGCCCTGATATCTAGCCCAAGACACTAGCTGCCATTTACAGATCTCCTTGCTGTCTCAGTGTTAAGGCCATATACTACCACCTGGAAGGGACTTCTTCCCCAAACTACGCCTGCATCCAGGACATCCCTTCTACTACCCTTGCCTCTCTGACCACTGCAGTTTTTAGTAAAGTTCAGCCCTGCCTGGAAAGGGTGCAAAAGAGAAGAGTCACTGACCTGGGGTTAGAGAAAAGAGAATGAGCCTGAAGCTTTCTGGACAGGAGGTTCAGAAGGTTTCTTAGTATCAGAAGGTGAAGAAAAGATCAGGCAGGCCCAGGTTTAGGAAGCACAGGACAATGGTTACCATAATTCTAGGTGAAAGACCGAAAACATATGCATAGGATTCAAAGGGTGTTGTGGGGGAGAGACTGAGAAGTTACCCTGCTGGCTCCAGGAAACAGGCAAGTCTAGACTAAGTTCACACAACAAGCACTCCCCAGTAACATACATAAAAACACTCACTGTAGTCAATACCGAGAAGTATCCAGATGCACACCCCACAGTCTACCCAAACACATAAGCAGAAAAGCACTCAGGATCACAGGAGGCAGCAGGGAAAGTTTGAAGCTGGATTAAGGGACGTGAAATGCATCATGTCCCTGCTAGTGCCCACAAGCTTTTGTTCCACAGGGTGCCCCTCCTTCCCTTATGGCACCACATCCTACTCTCAGGATGAGTTTCATTCTTCTTGGATCAACCATCAACACTTATGAAAGCAGCAGTCAAAAAATCAAACAACACCTCATGAACATAGATGCAAAAATTCTCAACAAAATAGTAGCCAACAGACTCCAACAACACATCAAAAAGATAATACATCATGATCAAGTGGGATTCATATCAGGGATGCAAGGATGGTTCAACATTAGAAAAAC